AGAGTGAAGACATGAAGATTGAAGAAGCATTCAGAGTCAAACAAGGAGATACTGAGGAACAAACAAAGATGGAGTTTATTAAAGAGGAGAGTGAAGACATGAAGATTGAAGAAGCATTCAGAGTCAAACAAGAAGATACTGAGGAACAAACAAAGATGGAGTTTATTAAAGAGGAGAGTGAAGACCTGAAGATTGAAGAAACATTCAGAGTCAAACAAGAAGATAATGAGGAACAAACAGGTTGGTTTTCATTCTCAAAGCTGAACTCAAAATGTCCAGCTCTACAGAAATGAATGATGTTTATGAAGAATGTGAATATGAAGAATAAACAGATTTCTATTGGTATATGTGTCACATAATAATAATGTTTCATTTATATAGCGCCTTTCAAAACCCAATGACGCTTTACATAAAGTTGATTGATCATGTGACTGTATTTGTGTTTGTTATCTATCAAATAAAGCAGACAGAGATCATCTTATGTACCTGATAGTTAATACAAGCAAGCATGGAATTGAAAAATGACAGTCAATTAATAAAACATATTGTAAATAAGTGAGTTCCGTTTTAAAGGTCTGAAGTGAAAAGATAGCACAACGGGTTTGAGGAACTTTGTTCCAGAGCTTAGGAGATGAAATGCTGAAAGCCCTGCCACCCACACTAGAAAGTCTGAACTTGGGTACTGCAAGCAAATTCCCAGAACTCGATCTTAGAATATGCATAGGGACATAAGGGTGAATTAATTTAGAAAGGTACAAAGGTGCAGAACCATGACAAGCTTTGAAAACTAGGATGAGTATCTTAAAATTAATACGATAGATTAGGGCTGGACGATATGGCCAAAATTTATATCACGATATATTTCTTAATTTCGGTTGATATGATATAATTCCGATATCGATATGAACACTATTTTAAAAAGCCTTGTAAAAACTGCCAAGAACGCCCACAACAGATGTCTGTGCATACAAACTTATGAAAAATGAATTTGCCAAGTCTATGACACCTAATATAAAACCATATAATACTTTAGAAAAAAAACCAGCACAAATAAATGAATGTTGACCTTTTATTTGTATTTGACTGGTAATGTAGGGTGGCTAATTATTGTTATAGATTGAAACAAATGTGCTTCAGCCAGGATAAAGAATATGAAAAGTGCTCTGAGTTGCTGTAGAAAAAAAAGAGCATCAACAAAAACATGTTGCTGGAGACGGGCTTATTGAAAATTTAAAAACTGATTGTCTGCCAGCAGGAGGTGCATTGAGAGTGGTAGAACTTGCGGTTTCTCCGGTAACGGCTGTAATCAAAGCAGCTCCGCTCATGAACGCTACTTTATCAGATCAAATGAAAATGTCATTGAATCTCTGAAGGGAACCGACTGTCTTCAGAAAAGTTTCGTTCATATAAAACACCCGCGCCACGTTTTGATTTTGAAACGTGCAGTGCTAATGTTTATTCAACGAAGTCAAACGCCACAAATAAATTAATGTATGGGAAACACTGGTAATGTATATCGAAATATCGGAAATGTGTTTAAAAATCATATCACCGTTATTGAAAAGAATTATATCGCGATACATATTGATATTGAATTATTGTCCAGCCCTACGATAGATGACAGGGAGCCAATATAATTGCTGTAAGCCAGGAGAGATGTGGGCTGATTTTTTGGTAAATGTAAGGGCACGAGCAGCTGCATTTTGAATTAGCTGTAAGTGATTAAGGGCTTTGTTAGGTAGGCTATATAACAAGGAGTTACAATAGTCCAGGCATGAAGTTATAAAAGCATGAATAACAGTTTCAGCATCTTAGAAATTTGTCGTAAACGGACTATATAGCGAAGTTGGTAAAAACAGGACTTGACCAGCTGGTTGATATGGGGTTCAAAGCATAGTGCAGAATCAAATAGTACACCAAGATTATGTACAGTAGGGGAAGGATGTACTATAACTCCGTCGATATTAACAGAAAAGTCAAGATGAGAGGAGACAAAGGATTTTGGGCCACTTAACAGAATCTCCGTTTTTTTCAGTATTAATTTTTAAGAAGTTTTGAGCCATCCATGCTTTAAGATCATGTAGGCAAGATGTTAAAGAAGTAGGAGGAAAAACAGTGTTGGGCTGTGCAAAAAAAATTATTTGCATGTCCTCAGCATAACTGTGGAAAAATGTAGACAATGGCGCTTGATGACCTGACCCAGAGGAAGCATAGGAAGAACAGAAGTGAACCAAGAACAGATCCTTGAGGCACTCCACGGGAAGAAGTGACAGAACGAGACTTGTGTTTATCAATGCTAATAAACTGTTGCCTGTCTGAGAGATATGAGCTTAGCCACTGCAGGACAGTTCCTGTAATGCCAGCCGCAGACAAACGAGACTGGAGTATAGAATGGCAAACAGTATCAAAAGCTGTGCTCAGGTCCAAGAGTACTAGAAGACTGATGACACCAGTATCAGAAGCAAGGAGAAGGTCGTTCACTACTCTTAGAAGTGCAGTCTCTGTACTGTGGAGAGGACGAAATCCAGACTGACGTGGTTCATGCAAATTATATTTGTACAAATGAGACTGTGGTTGTGTGTCAACCACTTTTACTAAGACCTTAAAATTGCCTAGGACAGTTGTTAAAAATGTGTCATCGTTTTCAAATACCACCGTTTCCACAGTCCACACTACAATGCAAAAACACAGTTTTCAAATTTATCCGCTTTGGAGAGTGTTTTCAAAAAGCTCAGTTTTCCTTGACAAAAATGTTGTCTCTGTTGTCCATCCAGTGTGGATGGAAGGTTTCAAACAAAAACAAATTAGTGTGGACCAGGCCTAAAAGTTAGAATGGGAAATGACTTTCTGGTGGCAACTTAATACTCATTGGTTTGAACTACCATGATGTTTTGTTCTTTTCTAAAATGTTTGATTTTTATTTATTTTTAAAGCTGAAATCTTGATTTCATGTGTATATTCCCGAATTACATAAGTACTTTAGTTTTTCTTAATAAATCATATTTGTTCATTAACAAAAAATAACTAAGGAGGCACCAAAACTTTGGTGAGAATGATTCAAATTTTATTACATTCAGTGTAAATGGTGACTGATAATGGATAATGTATTGTCAGTAGCATGGTCGTGCCAGATGAAGCTTGTGCAGCCTTACTGTGTGTGAGAGAGACTGTCATGGAGAAATCAAAACGGCACACACAAAGAAACTCACAGAAGAAATATACTGAGGTAAAAATGTAAAATGTTGAGTTTTTTTTATATTTATAGCATATGATAATTAGCAACAACACATAACCAAGAATGCTGTTTTCCTAAATATCTGCATGATTTCAAATGACTGATTTTATACACCAGTTTAATGAACAAGCAGTTAACATACAGTGACTTGCATTTTAGAGATTACATTGACCGATGAAAATAGTTTCAAAGAAAGATCACAGAAGAGTAGTTGCTCATCTATGAACAACACACAACCGTGTTTTGTTACTGATTGATTCAAGATTTTTGTATAAATCCTGCGAGTTAGTGATTCAGTGACCCATACATAAGGAGCGTAATTTGCTTAATTCTTGAATTAATCAGACATTTGAATAAATCGTTGAATTAATGATTCAGTGACTCCCTTTGTCACTTGCCAACACCTACTGGCAGTTTAATTTCATGTGTAAAAGTATCATTGCAGTTTTAAAAATATTTCATGTTTGTATATTCATCAAAATATTTTACCATTTATAAAACGTTTATCTCACAACATTATTTATGCAGTAATTTTGCTAGGTGAATATATTCATGCTACTACCACAGTGCTTCATTAAACAGTCTGCATAAATGCATCTAAATTACAGTTTCTGTGTTTTTTTTATAGTGGATTTCATTGATCCTAATTTTTTTGACTGGTAAAAGCACTATAGTGTCTTTGTATTCTAAATGAATTTAGAATACATATATTCAGCAGCGGCTATTTGCACTAAGTTTAAATAGCATCTAATTGCTATTTACACTTAGTTTAAATAGCCTCTATCGCTGTTTACATTAGGTGAAAATAGCATATTTTCTTAGCGACAGATGCTATTTACAGCGATGGATTCTATTTACACCAAGTGCAAATAGCAGTATTTTTAGCAATATGCTATTTACACTAAGTGCAAATAGCTAGGATTTTCTGCTATTTGTATTACTTATTGCAAATAGTGGCAATTATCTGCACCTCAGTATTGTACATTAAAAACAGTATGCTGTAATAACATATTGAGTGTAAATTATAATTTTAATTCAAATTATTAAGTGGATACCACCTTATTGAGACAATAAAGCCCTCACTACACCTACCCTAAACCTACCCGATACTTTATTTTCAAATTTTTGATTATTTCCTTATTTTTTATTGAAAGTAAATGCCTTTCCGATGTGATATGATATTTGAAAAGGGAGGAAAAAAGTTCGGCAAAAGGCGGATCCGAACCCAGTTCGATCGCGTCAAAAGGAGCCCGGTAGACACTTTACCATCTGAGCAGATATTTGACAAGCGTCTTTTGTAGTGTTGACTTGCCCAATCACGTTACAACAAATTGAACAAATGACAAATGAATGATTTATTTACTTGTCCAAAGGACAAACACATATGAAGACTTAAAGGAGCAATATGTGCTTTTCTTCAGAATCATTTTTTGTTATACTGGTTGAAAGTCTCTTGTTCCCTTTTCTTTTTTTTCCTCTCTCTCTAAATTTGTTGCATTTTATCCCCTAGGAGACATAATAATGGTATATTGAGATCAGTCTATATCTAGATTTCCTAAACTCAGTCATTAGACTATCTATTTTTTTAAATTAATTGTATAATGGCCAGCTTAAACTCTGTAGAACACCGGCTGACCAGGATCAGGTTTGGACACCCTGGTGTAGGATCTAGCATACATGTATTACATATCTACGTGTTTTGATGTTGATTGCTTTATGCCATTAAACTGGGGTTAACTTTTTTTGGCTTGTTTTTTCACCTTAGACCTGATGGCACTGAAAGAGGAGAGGGAAGTACTGAATGAAACTGAAGAGAAAGATCAGTATGAGAATCAAAATGGAAACCTTGACATCCACAGCCTTTTCACCTGCCAACAGTGTGGAAACAGTTTCACTTATAAAGGAAGCCTTAAGATGCACATGAGAGTTCACACTGGAGAGAAGCCTTACACCTGCTCTCAGTGTGGAAAGAGTTTCAGTTTTCATGGAAACCTTAAAGTCCACATGAGAGTTCACACTGGAGATAAGCCTTACACATGCTATCGGTGTAGAAAAAGTTTCAATCAACAAGGAAGCTTTAACAGGCACATGAGAATTCACAATAGAGAGAAGCCTAACAGATCCCCTCAGTGTGGAAAGAGTTTCAATCAAAAAGGTAACCTTGACGTCCACTGGAGAATTCACACTATGGAGGGGCTTTTTCCCTGCGAACAGTGTGGAAAGAGTTTCACTCATAAAGGAAGCCTTAACAGGCACATGACAATTCACACTGGAGAGAAACCTTTCACATGCTATCAGTGTGGAAAGAGTTTCAGTCATCCTGGAAACCTTAAAATCCACATGAATATTCACACTGGAGAGAAATCTTTCACCTGCAAACAGTGTGGAAAAAGTTTTAACAAAAAAGGAAACCTTAATTACCACATTAGAGTTCACACTGGAAAGAAGCCCTTCATCTGCCCTCTGTGTAGAAAATTTTTCAAGCGAAAACGAAACCTTAAAGTTCACATGAAAATTCACACTGAAGAGAAGCTTTACACATGCCCTCAGTGTGGAAAGTGTTTCAGGCAAAAACGATACCTTGAAGCCCACATGAGAAGAATTCACACTGGAGAGAAGCTTCAACTGAAAAGGTAATCTTAAATAGCACATGAAGATTTACTCAAGAGGGACCTGTTTGAATGTCATCAGTGTGGAATGAGTTTTACAGACAAGAAAAACCTAGGAATCATTCCTGGACATCGTAGAGAAGCCTGTCATGTGCCATCAACTGTGGAAAGACTTCCAGAAACAAAGCAAATCTTGAGTTTCACATAAACTGGATGATGGCATACCATCTTCCGTAGAGCTGCTTTACAGCTGAATCCCATCGTGCAACATCGACATTGGTACCTAACTGATTTCAGTCAACTCTTAACTGGTTCTAATTGAATAACTACATTGCTGTCTTTTGTAGAACTGTCATTTCAAACTGATGAACTTCACAGTTGTTACATACTGTTTAATTACACTCTTGTCTTTTAGACCTGCTTTACAGCAGAGTCTGAATTTTCCTGTGTGTCTCTGTTAAGTGCTTTGACACAGTCTGCATTATAAAGAGCATTATTGAAATAAAGCTGACTTGACATAAGAGTTCATGAGAGAGGGAATTATTAGAGGTGGGACCAAGTCATTGTTTTGCAAGTCACAAGTAAAGGTCACTGCACACTGAGTCCGAAATTTTTGTATGCGTTTTTTCGTATTTGTCGTCCTAAACATTCGTCAAACACAGAAACCTTGCACACCGAGTCCGATGCTTATTAATTAATCCATTGCGAAAAAATTCGCAAAACAGTACTAAATGGAGTCTTCAAGCAGTGAGGATGGTTTTGTTGTCCTCGCGCTTCTTAAAAAGAGAAATAGAAAGGAAATATTGGGTGCATCTAATCCTGAGATATAGAGAGTTCTCCCTCCTTATTAAGGAGCAGCGGGATTATCATGGGTGATTCAAAGTTTACTTCAGGATGTCAGTGGCTCAGTTTAATGCTTTGCTAGCGATACTAGAGCCACATATTAAAAAGAAAACCACCAATTTCTGTGAACTCGGTGTGCAAGGATCTTTACGGTGCTTTGTGCTGCGGGACGAAGTGGATGAACTTGACAATCGCCATCCTGGATTTTGGCGTTCGCTTGTACGGTGGCTCTGTACTGTCAAAACACCTCTCAAAATGCTTGCTACGAATGCGAAAAACGCAGTGTGTAAATGTGATTGACATAACGTGAGGTCGTATTTATTTTTTTACGTGCAAAAATTTCAGACGAAATTTTCGGACTCAGTGTGCAATGACCTTAAGTTTTGAGTCTTTGCATTCAAGTCTCGAGTCAAGACAGGAAAGTCTCGAATCAAGTCCAAGTCGAGTTGCAAGTCCTCAAATTTAAGCTTCAAGTCCTAAACAAGTCTGGCACCACACCGTTCACTATAGCAGGTTTAAATGAGGCATGCAAAATTATTCACAGCAAAACTGTAGCTATTCAGATACACAAATGTAGGTAAATGTATTTTGTGTTTTAAACAAGTTCATAATGATCACAGTTGATGGCTTTGTTTAGGGGCTATATGTGCGTTACCATGTAATAGAGACTCCATTTCTTTTTTGAAAGACATGAAAGTGAGTGTCTGGTAAACAGGAAGAATAGAGAGAACTTTATATGTACGCTACATACAAGCGTTTGCCGTGAAAAAAAAAATCAAGGCTACATACAAGCAATCAAATTATGTTTGAAAGGTTTTAGCTTATTATTAGGCTACTGCTGTTTCAATATACATCGTCATTTCTTCTTCTTCTTCTTCAAGTGGTTTATAGTGATTATTTGTATTTTAAATGTCTAAAACTTTAAATATCCTAAACATTATGTGGATGAAAACACTAACAAGTGCTCACTTAGTGAGTCCCCCTCTGGCTCAGTGCCAAAAGCTGCGCTAATCATACCAGTGTGACCATACGCTTCAGTAACCAGCCTATATTGATCAGAACTCTGTTTTTTAAGAAGGTAAAGACTTGCCGAGTCACATGGCTCAAGTCCAATCAAGTCTCGAGTCATTGTTGTCTAAGTCGAGTCGCCAGTCTTCTTTGATTATGTCAAGTCAAGTCACAAGTCCTCAAATTTGGGACTCGAGTCCGAGTCAAGACTCGAGTCCACAACTCTGGGAATTATTTCACCAGCCCTCAAGACCCTGATATACTCAGTTCTTTTGAAAGCTTTGTTCGTCTTCGGTCAGTGTAGCGCCATTTTGGAGAATATCCGCTGGATGCAAATAGCATACGCTGTTCTGTGTCAGCCGCACCACAAGGGTACGCTGTTTTCATTCAAATCAAAGCATAGAAAATAGGGATGTAACGATTCACTCAACTCACGATTCAATTCACGATTTTGATTTCACGATTATTATATTTTTTTTTAACAAAATGAGATTTAAGACTAATTATAAATTAAATGTGTCCTTTTATTATTGCTTGGACAAAATCTTCCAGTGCAGTTTTCTTGGGAGGAGGTTGTTTCTGCTCAGCTCCTGCGCTATCTGTCAAGAGGCCAAGAGGCTCCTGTGATGCAGGGGGGTGGCCACTGGCACCTTCTTCACCCTCATCCTGCACAGAGTAATAGCAGAAATAAAAAGACAGATTATATAGTACAATAGTGACAGGAGTTTCACATGGTTATAAAGGCAAAATTTTAATATTATTTGTTATAATTTGTATCATTACAATACACTTACAAGAGATAAACTTGAAAATTTTTAAATATGCAATAATAATCAACAACAAATACTTCAAAATCCACATACAAATTTGGAGAAAGAGAGGGTAACAAAATAAACAATACCTGGTTCTGCAACAACACCGCTTTCTCTTTCAGTCTGTGGAATACATCTTCACGCTGGTTTTTCTCTAGATGTGGCAGAGCCCGGAATCTGGGGTCTAAGACAGTGCACTCCAGCAGGTGGCTGTACTCTAAAGTGTATCTGTTTGAAAGGTTGTTCAGTATAGCTCTCTTGATGTTACTCACGGTTAGGGAGTCTTCTTCGTTGGATGCCATGTTTTGCTCGATCATATGCTTTAAGGGCACAATGAGAGACACCGTTGGGTTTTTTTCGTCACACAGCACAGTGGTAGCCGTTTTTAGTGGCTTAAGAAGCCTCACTATGTCCTCCGCATCACGGATGTCTGAGCCATCCAAAGTATCAATGTCACGTACATTTCGCCGTACGTCGTTGCTCAGGAGAGTCGCTGTCACAGCCGCTTGCTGTTCGAGATAGCGTTCTATCATATCCAGACTGCTGTTCCAGCGCGTAGTGACATCGATGATTAACTTGTGCGCTGGAAGCTCCAGCAGTATCTGTTTGGCCACGAGCGCGGCTGTGGCCGTGGCGCTTCTGTGAAAGAAGGCAACAATGCGCCTTATTCTGCCCAACAAATGGCTCACTCGTGGCACACTCAAACCCGCTTGGCTGGCCAAGTTTAAAGTGTGGGCAAAACACCTGACATGGGGGGCTAGCCCAGCCTCTCTGACAGCAACATCCATATTTCTCGCGTTGTCTGTCACAACAGCAATTCCACGACTAGCCTTTTGAAGCCCCCATTCACTCACAGCTGATTTTAAAACTTCAGCAATATTAGCCCCGGTGTGTGTTTCAAACAGAGGGCGAGTTTGAAGGACAAAATTGTCCATCTCCCACTCGCTGGTTATCACATGGGCTGTGACCGTAAGATAACCCTGGGTAGCCCTGGAGGTCCAGCTGTCGGTTGTAATTGACACGCTGTCTGCCTTTCTGAGTACCTCAACCACCTTAGATTTTGTTTCTCTGTAAAGCGTTGGCATGACAGTCTGGCTAAAGTGGGGGCGTGATGGGATTTGGTATCTGGGTTCCAGTGTGTTCAGCAGTAGCCGAAATCCTTCATTTTCTACTACAGAAAATGGCCTCATGTCTTTTCCCATGAAAACACCGATGCACCGTGTGATCTCCGCAGCTCTCGCACTCGTCGGAGCGAGTGGGGCTGCAAATCCTCCGGTCAGTGTGGTTTGGCCTATTAATAGCTTTTTGTGTACAGACGGCTGTGACTGGAGCTTTTCACTGTGGTGACGGTTTATGTGCTGCATCATATTCGTTGTGCTGTTAATGTATGTAAACGTCTTCTTGCAGTGTTTGCACACAGTTTTTCTTTTGTCTACCACATCACCACTGTCATTTTTAGTCTTCGGAAAGCCAAAATGCCGCCACACCTCTGATTTGAATGAGGATGGGGCTTCCTCAATATCAACATCCACACTCGTCGTCGCCATGCTTGAAACTGTTTGCTACAACTTGTTGTTCGCCGCTATTGCACCCGTAAAGCGAGTTTGCAGTAAACACAGCGGCCCCTGCTGTTCAAAACATGAATCGCGATTCGTTTAACATCTCAGTCGATTTGAATCGTCACACATTTCAATCGATTTTCAACCGGCCCACGGTTAATCGTTACATCCCTAGTAGAAAACGTATCCTTGTGGTGTGGCTGACATAGAACAGCGTACGCTATTTGCGTATAGAGGAGACAAATTGTTGAATAACGTCGTTGTTTTTGTCTTCTTTGCGCAGAAAGTGTTCTCGTCGCTTCATAAAATTCAGACTGAACCACTGATGGCAGATGGACTATTCTGACGATGTCTTTCACTCTTTTCTGGACCTTGACAGTAACTTACTAGGCAGTCAATGGGACAGTCAGAAGCCTCCCGGTTTTCATCCAAAATATCTTAAATTGTGTTCCGAAGACGAACAAAGCTTTTACGGGTTTGGAACGACATTGGGGTAAGTGATTAATGACAATTTTCATTTTGGGGTGGAGTAACCCTTTAATAAATGTGAGTGATTCCCTCTTTTAGTTTTTGATTAATATTAATGACACAGATGGCCGCAGGTTTATAATGCACGGATCTAATATAGCCTATTGTATAAACAGCTTGCTTGTGTGGCCACTGTAAAGCCCAAAGTAAAAAAGCCAGTTTTTTACATGTACGCTAGTGTATACGTACAGTCGAATGCGCAGCCTTTCAAAGTATACTCCATTTGATAGCATGGACAAACGCAGGTGGTCGACATATACACTTTATAAAGCTTCATCTTTAGTCCAATGTATGCTCTGTTTTCCTCTAGCAGAAGTGTACAAAGACATTTTTATCGGCCATAATTTCTAAAGTTGCTGCTATCTCATAAACCCCTCACACAAGCACTTGTCAATTGTTGGAAACAGAAGCGAAGACCAGGAGACTCTTGGGTATCTTCAGCAGGCTTCTTTATTGAGAATGTGCTGTGTGGCGCTGCAGTCATTGTAGATTATATATATTTAGGGGCAGGGCTTAGGAATGGAGACAATGCACCTGGCTGACGACCCTAAACAAAGGGTATACAGGACCCTAAACCTGTATACCTCATGCAAATGAGGTATACAGGTATAGCAACCTGAGCCATTTCAGCAGTCCTAATCCAATCAGCATGACTACTCAAAGACTGGGGAAGAGGCACCAAGAGCCATTACAAACAAAAGGTGAGAATCTCAGGTGAGTCATCTGGCTCATTTGACTAACAATAAGAGAACAGGAACTGGCAGGAACCTCTTGCCACAAACTTTGTTTAATAGAATCATTTATCTGATGTCATCATCTTTACTATAAATGCTAAATACAATGCATTTCACCTTAGCTTTTCAGGTGATTGTATGTCAGGATATAGGATCAGTAGCTCTAAGACAGATTCTTAAATTTGTAATCCCACAGCCCCCCCTTTGAGAGTTCTAATAACTCTCACATAATACAAATTTAAACCTCCATAAGTCCATTCTATAGCCTAAAGTCCCATCTTGCAGTCATTTAACTTAAAATAAGTTATATGTGCCTGTAACTTTTTCGTGTCTTGTCCTAGATTTACTTAGGTGTAGTAGTTTTTTTCAGAACCATAACTGTTAACACATATACGACAAGGGATGGTAACGTCGTACAAACTGCATGATGACACAGAAAACCATGTAGCATAAGAGTGGAAGTCCTGAATGTCCATGTCCATCTGTTTTCTGTCCATGTTCCACGTAATGTCACTCAGATGACTCTTTGGATAGGTGAGTGACTGGAGTGTGCTGTAGTATAGCTTTGAAGGCTGTTAGTGTACTTAACTAGCGTTCTCTCAATGGAAGGAAGTGACAGTCACCTCCCTGTAGTTTTATTTACAAAGAATCTTACATCTTTGTTGTACTTTACTGGGGAAATTAAGCACTCACAGCCCTAACACCTGAGCAAGCTGCTCCAGCAGTTCTGTGAAGTGGGGAGGGGCTGCTTCAAAGTAGTAAGTAGACTGAGTAGGAGCTGAGTAAAGCTGTTCATTTCTCCTAATGTCTTTTTGCTTTTCCTAGACTACTTGGGCCTGTCGCTTAAGAGGGTGATGTTTTACTTTGAACCTCATGCACCTCAACTTGGAAAGAGGTCCAAATAAAGTCATAATATTCATGGATAGTGTGTCATAGTGATGTTTAGGAATAAGATTCCTGTCAGGATAAAGAAACTTGAATTGTGTATGGTGATTAGTTGTTTAAGATAAGCAGCAAGCCCTTTTGACACAACAGGTGCAAAAATTGTCACATATTTCCCTCAACAACAGGAAAAGATGCCAATGTGGGCTCTTTGGATCAATTAAATCACCTAACAGAAAAGGCAACACTAGTAGTAAACACCACACCTGTGACGCAGTTTGCTTAATAGCATTTTCAGATGTTCTCAGATTGACAATTAGCTTTATTTGATTAATTTCCATTTTAAAGAATAATTAACCAAGGTCTATCAAAAGAAGACTTGCTCCTACTGGCTTGCAATACCTAGGACACTCCACCTGCTTCACCTGCAGATGCTGTCCAGTCAACCTCAGCACCAGCTCAGCCCAAATAAACCGATAGGAAGCAGTCTGCTAAGTCATCTTCTCCTTGTCAAGCAGAAAAACCTACGCTATCTGTGCAAACCTCGCCGCCTCCGTCTAACACCGTAACTGCCGATGTCAATGTCCAGCTCATTCAGGCCGTAAAAGGCCTCTCAGATACTGTTAAGGGCCTCGAATCCAGATTGGCTTTCTTCGAGAATGTATGTGCTGGTCATGCTCCAGGGATAACTCCTCCTACAAGCTCTTCAGGCTCCCTCCTGGCATTTCCTCATCTACCTGGATTTAGCAATCCTATGAGTGTTCCTTCTACATCCTCGGCAATACAGGCACCTACTCATCATTCGGCCCACACTCCGAATCAAGATGCAACTGCTCCATCTCTATATAATTTCAATTTCTCCACCACAGTTCCAGCACAAGTTTTTGGTGGGCGTCGGAGCCCACCAAAATTCTCAGTGGTCACCCCTCTACTCCAATTAATGTCCCAGTACTCTCATGCTATCTCTCTTCTCACCCTGATACTTTTTTTGTTAATTTCTTAATTACTGGTTTGTCTCAAGGGTTTCGGGTGGGAGTCCTTTCCTCTCGCTCTACTTCTTTCGTAGCAAAAAACTTGCAATCAACACTTGCAGAGCCTGATGTTGTTTCTGCTCAGCTGAAGAAAGAAGTAAATAAAGGATATGTGATCGGCCCTTTTCACTCTCCCCCATTTAGTCCTTTTCACCTTAATTCGCTTGGAGTCGCTACCTGTAAATATTCAGGGGAAAAAAACTGTTAATTTTCAACATGTTCCTCTCCCCATTCTAATAATATAGTTAGCGTCAATGAATGTATCCCTTCAGAACCTTTCTCTTTGCATTACGCTTCGGTCAATAATGCCATTCAGTTAATCAAGTTAGCAGGTCAGGGTGCTTGGCTAGCTAAAGCCGACATTACAGATGCTTTCAAAACTATACCTATTCATCCCTCAGATTGGGCTCTTTTCAGTGTCAAATGGAATTGAAAATTCTATTTTGGAATTAAACTACCATTTGAGTGTCGGAGCAGTCCGCACATTTTTAACTATATCGGAAGCACTGTGTTGGATCCTGTTGAATGTAAGCTTCCCTCCTTCGTCTTATATTTGCTATTCCTGGGCATTTTACTCGAGACAGTAAAAATGCAAGCTTCTCTACCAAATGAAAAACTTCTCAGAATTAGGTCGGTCATGGGGTCTTTTTTTTGCTTTACGTGCCGTTTCTAAAAAAGACATGCTATCTCTGCTTGGTCATCTCAATTTTGCCATGAGTATCACTCCCCAAGGCAGGACATTTATATCCCGTCTGCTAACCTTTGCTCACTCTGTGCCAATAAAGCTAAATTATTCGATTCACTTAGACAAAGGGTGCTTGTCTGATCTTACGTTTTGGACTCACCTGTTAAAGGGGTCATATGTAGGGCTGTGCGATTAATCGAAATCGTCAAAAAATCGCGATTTCTAAATCGCTTTATAGCACGATTTTCCGCGCCCCGACCTCCCGCAGTATGCTATCCGAACCAATCAGAATGCAGCGCGCCTAAATGGAGCACGAGAACAGAACAGACCGGGCGGGCATACAAACGTAACGCCAGGTTCACACACTCCGTCTGTGGTGCGTATTTTGTCCGCGCCCATGTTAACGGATCAGAGCGTTCACACTGCACGCGATTGCGCTCCGGCAGTGTGCTCCAGGAGCGGTGCGTCTGCAGCAGTCATGCTGCGATCGTTTCTGCACTGAGTCTATTTCTGCTGTGCTGCACGCGCTGAATTAAAGTGACAGCGCATTATTCGCGGTAAAAATTAACATGGATTGACACGGAAATTTAGTAATTACACCATAAATGCATATAATTAAAGTCTACTGTTTCACAGTCAACAGTCAACACTTGGCTTTTTGGCTAGATTTAAAACAAGGAAAAGTGCACTTTTAGATAAACAAGGCAATAATAGATGGCACTCGTGGTGGTAGTTAAAAGTTATATTTATTGAGTTTCAACGTGAATATGTCTATGAAAGATTGTATTACTGTACTGTGATAAAAGAGAATCACAATGCTGAAAAAGCGTTTGGATTTGAAATCAAAATAAAGGATAAATGTTGTGTTTGTGGTAAACAGCCGCGGATCAGGAGCGGACTGCAAACGCGTCCTGTGTGAAAACAAAATGAGTCCGTGCTGCTTCTGCACCGCATACACATACTGTATACGCACTGCAGACGGAGTACGTGTGAACTTGGCGCAACAAATCTAGTTCAACATCTGAGGCAATGCCACAAAGAGCTCTATGACCAATGCATGGCAAAAAAAATCCCTGGACACAGGATTTTTTTTTCTGCCATATGTCTATTCTAGAGACATTTTGTTAC